GGTGCAGGTGCTGGAAACAGACCCTGTTTCCTCTGGAAGACCAGCCAGTGCTCTCAACCACTGAGCCATCTCTCCAGCCCTCTTTACAATATCATATATATTATATGATACAATATATATTACAATATCATATATATATACATATATATACAATATATACATATATATAAATATATATCAAATATATATCAAAATATATCATATATATATACATATATATATATATATATATATATATATTTGAGATGAGGCTTCTCTGTGTAGCCCTGGCTAACTTGGAATTCACTATGCTGGCTTTGAATTTATAGTGGACCTCTAGGCTCTACATCCTAAGTTAAAATTACAGGCATTCTGCTACCAAACCTGGTTTTTTTGCTGTTGCTATTTTTGTTTCAGTTTTGTTTTGTTTCATTTGGTTTTTTTGTTTGTTTGTTTGGTTTTGGTTTTTCGAGATAGGGTTTCTCTGTGTAGCTTTGGAGTATGCCCTGGAATTCACTCTGTAGACCAGGCTGGTCTCGAACTCACAGAGCTCAAACTGCCTCTGTCTCCTGAGCCTTGGGATTAAAGTCCAGCTTTGGTTCTGTTTGTGCTTGTTTGTTTATCTTGTTTTGTTTGGTTGGGTTTTGTTTTGAGACAGCATCTTCACTCAGTAGCCAAGGCTGGCTTCCTGCCTCAGACTCCCAAGTACTGGAATTATGGGTTTGAGCCACCACACTCACAACATCCTTTTTATTTTATTTATTTTTAATTAAACAATTGCTTAGGGATGAAGAGATGGTCCAGTGACTAAGAACGTGCACAGTATTTACAAAGGACCTAAGTTTCATTCCCAGTGTGCACACTGGTGCCTCACAGCTGCCTGTAACTCAGAACCGATGCTTCTGACCTCTGCAGGCACCTTCACTCATGTGCACACACACACCTCCTCCTACACAGAATAAAAAGTAAAAAATAAATCTTAAAAATTAATCCCTTTTTATTACATTTTATTTACTTTTATGCCTGTGTTGTGGAATGTTCACGTCAAAGCCAGAGGACAACTTGTGGAAGTTGGTTCTTTCCACCATGTAGGTCTGGGGGATCTAACTCAAGTCTTCAGGCTTGTGTCAGACATCTTTACCAGCTGAGACATCTGCCAGGCCCAGCATCCTTTTAAAAGCAGGGTAATGCCATGCTTGATTAAGCCAATTCCTACCGTTGGATACTGAGGCTGGAATCGTAGACACTAGTGGCATGAGCATACAGGTACATAGGTCTTTGCACATGTCTATGAATTCCTAGAGACAAGATGATTTTCACACCTCACTAGATTTCCCCTAGGATGTCCCCACCACATAAAGCATGCACTCCACATGTCAGGGGCAAGTCTTTCCACGTAATTCCAGTAGCACCAGATTTACAGCCCCTTTTGCTCATAACACATGAGACTGAGCACTGGTCAATGTGTTGGGAACTCCAGGGACACTACTTGCCAGCATGGGGTAGCAAGGTCCTCAGCCAAGAATTGTCCTGTTTGGAAACAGCCAGACACCACAGAAGCCTCATCAGCAAAAGGGAGCATTTAGTAAGAGTAGGCTTTGTACCTTTAAATTTGCAATAGTTCACAAGGTGGATATTATAGACACATGTTGGAAGTGAAAACTGAGTTCTCGGGCAGGCTAAAGGCCTAACTGGAGATTCAAACCCCTGGCCATCTTACTTCAAAGTCTGAGACCCTATCATACTCTTTGTCCTCCATGGCCAGAGGAAGGAAGAGACTTGGTGTCAGGCCAGCACATTCTCACTGGGAATGACATCTAAGTGCATGCCAATGAAGAGCAATGGAATGAAGAGAAGGCTGCAGCATGTGGCCAGATCTTCAGGCCTTTACAAAGGTTCCAGAGAACAGCCGCTGATGAGAAGAGATAGTGGGAAGAACAGCCTCTGAGAACAGATCTGGCAGGGATCTGTGAGCAGTCTGTTCAGCAGGATGACCATCTTAAAGTTAGAAAAGGAAGCAGAGATGTCACACTCATGCTAAAAACTGTGGGTCACAGGCTGACCAGAATCCCCTAGCATCCCTGTGGAGACAAGTAGAGACCTGGACTCTACTTTACACTCTGCTTATTGAACCCAGAATTGCTTACTGAACCCAGAATAGCACGGCACAAGCCCAGGATGCTGACAGATGAACCCTAGAAAACGTAACTGGGACAGACCTGGAGTCACAGGCCAGCTTGGTTCCTCACAGAGCGTAAGAGAGCTCCTTGACATTGACCTTCACAGAGGAACTCCATTTGACAGGCTAGGGAAGCCAATGAGTGTATTAGAGCACCAAAAACTCAGGGCTGAAAGAAGACACTATCCTCAGATGGCATTTTTCTTTGGTCACATTTCTGGGCCATTCTACTCATAGGTCACTATGAATTAACATCAAAAAAACATCATGTCACTTTATGGATGGCAAATACAGTTCTGCTGCATGAACTTCCTGGATACCACAAGCATTCATTCATTTAGAGTGCCAGTATATGACAGTGAACAAATCTTGGTATTTTTTCAGTCCTGGGGCTGGATTCAGGACTTTGGGAATACTAGGCATGAACTCTGGCCCTGAGTTACACTCCCTGCCCCCACTTTTTTATTCCAGAGAGCTACTGGGCTGGGTATTGGGGTGCACACCAGCACTCAGAAGACAGAGGCAGGTGGATCTCTATGAGACTGAGGCCAGCCTGGTCTATATAGCGAGTTCCAGGCCCACCTGTGCTTTGTGGTAAGACTCTGTCTCAAGACACATACTTCCTCCCTTTCTTTTTTGGCAGTACTGGGTATTGAACTTATGGCCTCACAGGAGTGTAAGGCAAGTGCTCTACCACTCAACTACTTAAGCACCTGGGTCCCCTGAGCAAGGTGTAACACATTTCTACTGATCTGTAAAATGGGAACAATAATACCTGGGTTTTGAGGGCCTGTCCATCAGTGTGGAATGGTGGAAAGATGGTAGAACTTGCATTTTGACCTAGTGTCTGCTTCCCCTTGTTGGGAGACCTGGAGAAAATTCTTAGTCCCTGTGGGCTTGATGACTCGATGGGTGTGAATGGGCAATTCAAAAGCCATTTGTGAGGACAAAAGGCCCTTGCTCAAGTGAAGCCACTCAGTTCACACAGTGCCTGCCTCTGTTTCCCCTATTCACATGAAGTCTTCTCTTCGGTTGGCCATTGCTTCTTACTTGCCTGCAGCCTTGCCCCAACCTAAGTCATCCTCGACCACAGAATGACTTCACTCACCTCTGTGGATCACACCCTATGTAATGTTAGCAGTCTCCTGCTTCTAATTCCTTAACCTCTCCTTCAGCATTCTACTATGGATTGAATATTCCTACCTAAATTTATGTTGATTGGCCCCCATTATGAAGCATCAATACGTGGGACCAGGGGTTGCCTCTCAGAGGGGTGATAGGTCAGGAGGACTCTGAGTTAGTGGGTTCACGGCGATCTGAAGTGGCTGTTGTGAAAGCCACCTGGACTGTCTCTCGGGTGTGCCCATTTCTCACTGCGTGACGCCTCACACTACCTGTAGATTGCCCACCAGCAAGAAAGCCCTCGCCTGGTGGGCTCCCCAGACTCCAAAACTGTGAGCTGAATAAACCTCTTGTGTTTTTAAATTACCCTGCTTATGGTGTTCAGTGACAGTCTCAGGAAATGGGCCTACAGAACAACCCTTCCTCTTCCTACAGTCTCCCTTCTTGTTTTACCACACTCTGTATCCT